TGCCCCACAAGTGCCCCATAAGTGCCCCATAGAGACTCCATAAGTGCCCCATAAGTGACCCCATAAGTACCCCATAACTGCCCCACAAGTGCCCCATAGAGACCCCACAAGTGCCCCACAAGTGCCCCATAGGGACCCCATAGAGATCCCACAAATGCCCCATAACTGCCCCATAAGTGCCCCATAGGGACCACATAGAGATCCCACAAGTGCCCCATTCAGACCCCATAGAGACCCCATAGGTGCCCCATAGAGACTCCATAAGTGCCCCATAAGTGACCCCATAAGTGCCCCACAAGTGCCCCATAGAGACCCCATAGAGATCCCACAAGTGCCCCATAAGTGCTCCATACGGACCCCATACAGACCCCATAAGTGCCCCATAAGTGCCCCATAGAGAGACCCCATAAGTGCCCCATAGAGACCCCATAGAGACCCCATAAGTGCCCCACAGAGACCCCACAAGTGCCCCACAAGTGTCCCATAGAGACCCCATAAGAGCCCTATAGAAGCCCCATACAGACCCCATAGAGACCCCATAGGAGCCCCATAAGGACCCCATAACTGCCCCATAGGGACCCATAGAGAGACCCTTGACCCCATAACCCCGTGACCCCGTGACCCTTGACCCCACAACTCACCCAGCCCCACCCCCCCGCTCTCATACAGCTCCCCATAGGACAACACACCCCGTGACCCTGTGACCTTTGACCCCGTGACCTTTGACCACGTGACCCCGCACTCACCCAGCCCCGCCAACCCGCTCCCGTACAGCTCCCCATAGAACACCACACCCCATAACCCCATAACACCCCCATAACCCTGTGACCTCTGACCCCGTGACCCTTTGACCCCGTGACCCCGTGACCTTTGACCCCGCACTCACCCAGCCCCGCCCCCCCGCTCTCGTACAGCTCCCCGTAGGACACCACACCCCACAACCCCATAACACCCCATAACCCCATAACACCCCCATAACCCTGTGACCTCTGACCCCGTGACCCCGTGACCCCGTGACCTTTGACCCCGCACTCACCCAGCCCCGCCCCCCCGCTCTCGTACAGCTCCCCGTAGGACACCAACCCGATGGCGATGGTTTGCAGCACCGGCCGCATGGACGGCACAAACTGACAGGGGGGGGGGGGAGAATAAACGTCACCGCCTGATGACGTCAGCAGTCGCCGGGTGATGACGTCACGGCGCCGGCACAGCATCACGTGACGCAGCTCCCATTGAGACCAATGGCTCCATTGACCCCATTACTCAACATTGACACCAATGGCCCCAATGATCCCATTGCCCCCATTGACCCCAACGATCCCAATGACCCCATTGACCCCAATGATCCCATTGACCCCATTGACCCCAATGGCCCCATTGACCCCAATGATCCCATTGACCCCATTACTCACCATTGACCCCAATGACCCCAATGGCCCCATTGACCCCATTGACCCCAATGATCCCAATGACCCCATTGACCCCAATGATCCCATTTGACCCCATTACTCACCATAGCCCCCAATGGCCCCCAATGATCCCATTGCCCACATTGACCCCAATGATCCCATTGACCCCATTACTCACCATTGCCCCCAATGACCCCAATGGCCCCATTGACCCCATTGACCCCAATGATCCCAATGACCCCATTGCCCCCACTGGCCCCACTGACACCAATGATTCCAATGACCCCATTGCCCCCAATGAGCCCACTGCCCCCATTGACCCCAATGGCCCCATTGACCCCAATGATCCCATTGACCCCATTACTCACCATTGCCCCCAATGGCCCCAATGATCCCATTGCCCCCATTGACCCCAATGATCCCAATGACCCCATGGCTCCCAATGACCCCATTAACCCCATTGACCCCAATGCCCCATTGACCCCAATGATCCCATTGACCCCATTGCTCCCAATGACCCCATTAACCCCATTGACCCCAATGCCCCATTGACCCCATTGACCCCATTGACCCCAATGATCCCATTGACCCCATTACTCACCATTGCCCCCAATGATCCCAATGACCCCATTGACCCCATTTCCCCCAATGACCCCATTCACCCCACCGACCCCAATGTCCCCATTGACCTCAATGACCCCATTGACCCCATTGACCCCAATGCCCCCAATGACCCCAACGACCCCATTGGTCCCATTCACCCCATTGCCCCCAATGACCCCATTGTCCCCAATGGCCCCATTGACCCCATTGGTCCCATTGCCCCCAATGACCCCAACGACCCCATTGGTCCCATTGCCCCCATTGCCCCCATTGGCCCCAACGACCCCATTGGTCCAAATGACCCCAATGAACCCATTGACCCCAATGGTCCCATTGCCCTCATTGACCCCAATGAACCCATTGACCCCAATGACCCCATTGGTCCCAACGACCCCATTGACTCCAATGACCCCATTGATCTCATTGGCCCCAATGCCGCCATTGACCCCAGTGACCCCATTGGTCCCAATGCCCCCATTGTCCCCAATGACCCCGACGACCCCATTGTTCCCATTGCCCCCAATGACCCCATTGTCCCCATTGGTCCCATTGCCCCCAAGGACCCCAATGACCCCATTGTCCACAATGGCCCCATTGACCCCATTGGTCCCATTGCCCCCAATGACCCCAATGACCCCATTGACCCCATTGACCCAATGACCCCAATGCCTCCATTGCCCCCAATGCCCCCATTGGTCCCAATGTCCCCAATGTCCCCATTGACCTCAATGAACCCATCATCCCCAATGGCCCCATTGCCCCCAATGACCCCATTGGCCCCATTGCCCCGATTGGCCCTAACGACCCCATTGATCCCATTGTCCCCAATGACCCCAATCGCCCCATTGTCCCCAATGGCCCCATTGACCCCATTGGTCCCATTGCCCCCAATGACCCCATTGCCCCCAATGACCCCATTCACCCCATTGCCCCCATTGACCCCATTGGTCCCATTCACCCCATTGCCCCCATTGCCCCCAATGACCCCATTGCCCCCAACAACCGCATTCACCCCAATGCCCCCATTGACCTCAATGACCCCAATGGCCCCAATGGCCCCATTGCCCCCAGTGACCCCATTGGCCCCATTGCCCCGATTGGCCCTAACGACCCCATTGGTCCCATTGCCCCCAATGACCCCATTGACCCAATTGGTCCCATTGACCCCATTGCTCCCAATGACCCCATTGTCCCCAATGACCCCAACGACCTCATTGCCCCCATTGCCCCCAACGCCCCCAACGCCCCCACTGACCTGAAATCCCAGACACCTCCCGTAGAAGCACCCGCAATGCATGGTGCTGTACTCCCTCAGCACCGCCTCCCCCAAACCCGATTCCTCGGCCGCGAACAGCGCCCCCTGCGGGCCAGAGGCCAACAATCCCTGAGCCAAACACAGCAGAGCCCTCAGCTGCCCCAGGGCCGCCCCGTAGGCCTCCAGCTCGGCGGCGTTGTGCTCCCTCCGGAAGAAGACGCTCTGCCTGCGGGCCGCCACGTAACGGCATTTGGCCACGGCGTGGGCCACGCAACGCCGGGTGGCGGCTACCAAACTGCGGTAGCCGTTGCCCGGGCTGGATGGATCGAGGTCGAAAAGGTGTTGGAGGCGTTGGAGGTGCCTTAAAGGAGCTTCCAGGCGGTCGCCGTGATGGCGGAGGAGGCGGAAGGCGGCGGCGAAGCGCAGCCCCACGGCCGTGTGCGTGGCGTGGAAGAACGAGGCGTTGTCCGATGCCAGCGTGGAAAGGGCGCGGAATAAAGGGCGGGGGTCCGGGCTGGGGGGGGGGGGGGGGGCCAGGGGGGGGGGGGGGGGGGGG